ATCCAAAATGAGGCCTACACTTCGAAAACTTGCAGCTGGTGTGGGAACATTCAAAAAATAGGAGGGTCCGAGATGTATAAATGCCAAAATTGCGGAACTGTAATGGATCGAGATGAAAATGGCGCTCGGGGAATCTTTCTCCGGGCATTGCTTGATGGAGCCTTGATTCTCTCCGGAGATCATGCAGGATATAGTAGTAATAGTAATTAGTAATGCCTACTATTGATGTGTTACAATCCATCCGGTTTACTATTATTGGACAATTTATTTGAAGCCCGGAGTATATTGACTATCACCCCTAAATTGGTTGTTTGTGTTGCATGACTTTTTAAATTCGCGCCTTTTCTTGCTGTTAGTCACACCACTCCACAAATCATAATTGTTCTCACCCAACTTTTCAAGCTATACTTAACATTCTCTAACTGTCACATAACTCTCAAGCTCAAACCATTGCAGGTTTGCCAAAATGGCTAATAGAAAGCTGCAAAGTGCGTTCTCTTGTCTTGGTTTTCGGACTACTATTTTCTATGCTACGACGCTCTTGGTCCAACCGTAATATTCACACTCTATTCTTCCATATAATAAATCCAATAAAACGTATCAAATCAATCAATACCTGTACGTCGGCTTGGTTTTCATTTCCTGTATCATCCCTACAGCTGAAATCGATCGTGTACTAAAAAAGGTCGCTGAGGGTGTAGAATCTTTTGAAGGTATATTTGAGAAAATACAGTCTACGAGCAATGCTAATCAAAAAGAGAAATTAGAACAAGATTTGAAGAAAGAGATCAAAAAACTTCAAAGACATCGCGACCAGATAAAGACATGGATATCGTCAAATGACATTAAAGACAAGAAAGCTCTTATCGACAACAGGCGGCTAATTGAACAGGTTAGAACCTAGGCATAAATCATCTTGTCCGTTGTTGAGAGAAACCTGCGAAAGGCGGGATGTCTTGTTACTTTCAACCATTGACGGTCTAACCAAAGTAGCTCTTGTTAATCATAATTGTTAATTCTTAGCAAATGGAAAAGTTCAAAGCATGCGAGAAAGAAATGAAAACCAAAGCATATTCTAAAGAAGGTCTTAGTCAGTCAGCTAAAATGGATCCGAAAGAAAAAGAGAAATTAGAAACGACTGCTTGGCTATCAGATATGGTCGATCAGCTGGCATTACAAATCGAAGCTGCTGAGGCTAAAGCTGAAAGCTTGCATGCTGTTATCAAGAAAGGTCGCAAGGATCAGCAGAAACTCGAAGATCTCAACGAGGCCGAAAATTTAGTAGAGCGTCATAAGTGGCATACTGGAAGATTAGAGTTGATACTACGGTTACTCGAAAATGGCAACATTACTACAGAGCAGGTGAAATAAGTGAAGTTTATTACATGTTTGTTAGGGTTTTTTGTTCACAAGCGAATGGGCAACTGACAGTCTTGTTTGTAAAGGTTTTGGATATTCAGGAGGATATAAAATACTATGTGGAGAGTAACCAGGTGAGCAAACCGCTTGTTAACGGATAAGGTTTTAAAATATGCTAGTTTATCTTGGTCGCTAACCCTCATTTGTAAATATTAAGGATCCCGACTTTGACGAAGATGAGCATATATATGATGGGTTAAATCTTGAAGAAGAGGAAGAGATTTATGGTAGAACTGGAGATGATCATCATAGCAGTCATGATTCTGTAACAGACGGTAATATTGCCAGCAAATTACTACACCTTCTGGATTAAACGTTTATACATTATGCGGAACACACTAACGCTCTTTATTTTTATTTAATAATAGAGCCACAAACACCACAAAAGGAGGTAAATATTTTTATTATATTACCCCTATTAAAGAATAATTCTAATGATATCTGCATTGGGTACAGCATTCGCCGTCAATGTCGCCGACAGCAAGAACCACTGCGCCTATAAATAAACCAACAATACCTATTCCAACGAGAAGTAAGTTTGACTTGCTGGTATCGATTTTTTCAGTTTCTAGTTTCTAACATTATAATGAGTTTGCAGAATCTAGTGTTGGTAATGCTCTTGATTCAACGCCCCGGCATAAAGAAGAAGGTATGTCTAGTTATAGAGTTGCCATTAATAATATTTGTTTCTAACCCAATTATTACACAACAAGAAAAACCAAAACTGCCACCACCGATACCGAGTAGCAATATTCAATCTCCTCCACCAACCAGTGCATATGCATCTATGAAAGCCATGCAAAGTGGAACACGGGTTATAACAAAAGGAGCGCCTGAACAAATGACGACACCAGCACAGACTTCGACGACGTCGTCAACAGGCCCATCAGCAACAGCACCTCATCAATCCCAACCTCCGCTACGCTATGCAGCTGTAACTGCCGCCGAGTCGACGCCTCAAGACGTACCTTCAGCAACTACATCCGCATCTGTATCCTCATCTTCCCCTACATCAATACCCGCCCCCGCATCTTTGCCAGCACCGGTACCTACAGCCATATCCGCAACTGCAGCCGCACCCATATCCACAACCGTACCTGCACAGTTTGGTTTATCACAATCATCGCCAGAAGCTGAACAGAAGAAATATTTTGCTCAGTACGAGGTAGATTCTTCCAACCAACAACCTGTGGAACCTCCTACGAAACCAACTCTCCCGACATCGGCAGCATCGGCATTTTCTGCAGCGGCATTCCAGCCACTAGCATCAGTGACTCCAATATCGCAAACAACCCAGCCTCGCGATACAACAGCAACTGTTTCAAATTTGACTGGACAGCAGTCATCAATGCAGGTAACCGAAGAAATACCTGAACAGTCAACTGAACAGGAAACTCAGCAAATAAGAACCGATGTTTCTCAGGAAGGACCGCATGCTGAGAGCCGTTTCCCCGCATCGCTTACGGATCTGGTAGCTTCTTTTGAAGCCGCTAAGGAAAAATGTAAGACAAATTTGGTTTTATTCAAACTGGCGTAATCGGTAGGAGGAAACAAGTGAATATGTCTAACATACAATTTACGTCTATCCAGCTCTAAGTAAAGACAATCGTCATCACGTACAGCAAATGCTCGACGTTAGTTTCCAACATGTACCGGAAAGCGCGGATGCGGAACGGTACGTATAAGACGTTTCTGGCGACTAGAATTTAACATATAATCAAGGGCTAAATCACAAGATTTAATGAAGGGGGGAGCGAGTTAATATGATTTTCAAAGTAAATGCTAATTGGTTTACCCTACCTGTGTAGACCCAAATACTATGCCCCACGAAATCCATATCCAACTTCCCAATATTACCCCACTACCCCATTATCAGTGTTTGACAATCCAATGCTTTTTGAGAAGTTTGGGCTCGATTCGCTCTTTTTCATATTCTACTATCAGCAAGGGACTTATCAACAGTATGTATCAGCACTACGCATTATTCAGGTTGTATAGAGCTATTCATTAACGATATACTTTTCAAAAAGATATCTCGCTGCTCGCGAATTGAAGAAACAATCCTGGCGATTTCATAAAAAGTATTTGACATGGTTTCAGAGACATGAAGAACCAAAAGCAATGACTGATGAGTACGAGCAGGGAACGTATATTTATTTCGATTATGAAGGTGCTTGGTGTCAGCGAAAGAAGACGGAATTCAGGTAAATGCACATACAGTTCAGTTTCATTTACGTATAAGTTTAATTTAACGACGATTTTCCTGTCTGTTTTCAGATTCGAATACCGTTTCTTGGAAGATGCTGAACTTGTATAAAAGCTTCAATATGAACATATCATTATTAGAAATGTGTAACAAGTATTCGCTTAATAAATCTTGGCATGCGCACTCATTTAATTCCCGCAACATCAAGAGTAGAATTTCCCATTTGATTAGCTGGATACGAGACAACTATTTAGGTATATCGGTTATCATTACAAAGCGTATAATATTATGTATGTATCTTGTCACTATTAGATAATAATATGTACTCTTATAAAGTGATATCACTGACAGATTATAATCAAATAATGAGAAGCATGTTGTATTCGTGCAACCAACACGGTGATCCTAATATTACGAAATATTCAACTAATTAAATTATACGTAAACGTCAATCCTTAATTCTCAGACTTTACGCGCGTCTGTTAACGAAGAATTTACAGCCGTAAAAGCTCATTGATACGCTAAAAAGGTTCCCTTGTATATAGTGAACCATACTTTTCAAGTTATGGAGGTCTACATGGCTTGTTATGATATTTGGTATATTGTGAAAGCTCGATTTAGCGGGTCTCGATTTAACGGAGAAAAGGGCTGGGAACCGGAAGTAATTTATCATAAATGTAAACCTTTATTATACTCTAGCCAGGTTAAACTATGGCACAAACTAAACAGGAACTTTAATCAGTTCAGCATAAGAGCGTAATTCATATTCACAAGCGTTCTGAAAAAATAAGCGGCAAATTCACGAAACCGATAGTAGCGACGATAGAGCAAATGAGTTGAATAGAAACAGTGATGGGTTTTGATCGAATAGCGACTATTTGACTACAAAGAAACAAAGATTAGCTGTAAATTATGCAACTATGAAGCAGACTCTCTGTTTATAACAAATAAAACGGGTTTCAAAAAAAATAATCTTTGCTAAAAAACCACTTTTGTTAAACCGGCCTTTTTAGTTATAACCATAATGTTAAAGTACAGAAAATAAAAATTGATTCGTATGATAGTTGTACGTTAACCAAACCTTGAGATTTGGCGCGTTTTTTCTAATTGAAGTATAATCTATTAAATTTGAATTTTTTCTTTAGTATTTTGATATGGCTTTAACATGTTACTGTTGGGTAACACTGTCAACTATCGATCGGTTGTTTTGCGATTGTGTTACATGTAACTTTGAAATACACCGGCCGGTTTAACAAAGTGCTCCCCGACTTTGTTAATGTATGCATCATAGTCTTCTTACCTGACTTTGGTATGATATATCAATATAAGGTAAGATTATTTACCTCTTCAGTACACATTATATTTTGGAATGTATAATTTGCCTAAGGAACAAAGAATTAGCAGGCTCAAGCAAGAACACGAACAACGAGTTAGTCAGCAAAAAAAGAGAGAGAAATATTTGGTTATCGATCACACAGTCTTCAAACCTGTACTTCCAATAGTCAGCTAATCGATGTTCCCGGTGCAAAATAATGACGGCCAGTTTTTTTTTTGTTTTCTATTTAAAAATGCTTTATTACAAACGTAAGCGAAAATAACATGTTAGTGCTGGTATAAAGGTACGCAGATTTTGTAGAATTACTCGACAGTTTAATCTTACTGTTGCCTCCTTCAATCTTTGTAATAACATACAGTATCTCTGGTCCTCAATTTCATTTTGAATTGTCCCAAGAAAAGTTCTATTACTTCGTTTCTTAACGTGTTAAAATTGCGATTAATTGTATTAGACGGCTAATAATAATAATAATAAAGTATTTAAAATTCAAGTCAGTCCGAAAACGCGAATGTTCTACAACAAGTGGGATAAACTTACATGCTTATAATATAAAATTAGCGAACAAAACGGTAAGGATAAGTTGTTCTGTGAACCTGTAAAAAATGACATTGTTTGGTAACAAAAATTAGTTACCGCATTGGAAATTATAAATGCCTTTTCACCGCCTCTATTTTGTCAGGCACTGTAATATTGAATCTTACTTCGTGAGTGAGAATATGGTGAGGCGTTTGAGAGTTAGCTATGTACTAGGAGTACACGTATACAAACCGCGCGTGCGGGGACAGTCGTATTAATATATAATTAGCGTTACTGGTACGAATACACGGACGAAAGTCAACCAGGCAACCAATATATTAAAACCATCTTTTTGAAGAAATAGATGTTGTAATCATGAACCAAGAACAAACATGCTATATTGCGAGATAACTCGTAGCCAAGGCCAAGCGTATACTTCAATTAAAAAAAACAATCGAATTAGAGAAGAGATTGATATACCGTATCCTTTATGATTAATTTCCTGCCCATATTGGCTTGCCAGTCCGAACAACAGTGATCGTTATCCTGATGCTTCAGGAGATGCTCGCAAGGGACAAGGAAATTACCATTTTCCTTGGTGAACAAGCCACAATTCCTAATTGCTTTGTTTGGACTTGCATAAGTATAATGTGACATAAATGTTGTACAAACATATTAAAAGTAGCCCGCATTAAAAATTCCATTGGACAATTTAAAGGTCGAAATGAGTATGCTATGTTACATAGTAATGATAAAAGTCGATAATTGTTCGACATATACTTCTTATGATCTAATTTATTATTAGTTGGGCTGAGGTCCATAGTTTACTGAATTTGTACTTGTAAATACAATGCTTATTACACTGCAGCTTAGTGACGTTAATAAGCTTAATAATTACGACCAACTTGAAAACGGGCTTAAAAATCTTAAATGGGAACGTACGTTCATCAAGTAATTAATGTGTCTCCAATAATGCTTTTGCTCAGTTTACATACGACGGCTTGTAAAAATTTAACATCCCTCCAAAACCCCCAATGTTATACAAACTACCGTTTTGCCCAATTCATTGTCTTGTGTACCCCCAAACGTTCAGCAAACGCCACAAACTGTTCAGGAGATCAAAAATACGTTTGATCGAATACCACGTTTTTTTAGCTATAAATCCTAGCAAATCTTAGGATTATCTCGTCTTCTGTGGGCTACAAAGCTTAATCGACAAATAAATGAATTCAAAAATATTATTACGTATACTATGCTTGAATGACTATTGATAGTGTCAGTTGACCGCTCCCATGATGGTATAATAAAAAAATTCTTACCATTTGTACGGACTGATATTACCGCTGCGTAAAAACGACATTCCATTGAACCGCGGTGTCATTATGATCAGAACTACTTGTAGAAATCATTTACGAAATTCCAGGGTATTGGTAACCACGTGATTTTACTGCGGATTATCACGCAATACAATATTTGCAATTAAGGCTAATTACTTGCCCGATATATATAAACCGATCGACAACGTTTGATACATCTTAAATTATTACAATGCTGGGTTAATCGATTGTTGAGTGAAAATCATTAAATTCATTGCAAATAATAAATTGAAAAGAGAGGACGACAATGTTTGCAAATAGCAACGTAAAAAGAGGAATACAAATGATACGCCCACCACGAAAAGTTACTCATTCTGTTCGTCAAAACAATCTGCATGACTAATTGGAAATTGGGAATCAAAATGAATCACAATTTACAGCATGCCAGAGCCTTTTTCAACGACCGATTGTCAAACACAAAGCTGACGAATAGCCGAGAGATAATATTATAACGATTAATAACAATAACAATAAATAATAATGATTATAATAAATATAAACAAGAGTGACAAAAATAGAATACGCAGAAAACTGTGGCACGGACCCCTGGAATCACCCTTTGAGAGTTGCGATTGGTTCAAACATTTAAATTATTTTGTGCTCAAAAATATTGTGCGAGCCTCGAACGCGGAGAAAGCACTCCGGGCGAGCTTTCTTTGTTTCATGTCACGTTGCTTCGAACAGTCTTGTGCAAGTCGACCATGAAAAAAATCTCAAATTTAAATACAGCGGACAATCCGTAACTGACCTGAACTTGGACTCAAACCTAACCCTTTCCACCTAAAATAAAACAAAAATGAACGCAACTGAAGAACCGCTTCCTCCTGGTTGGTAAGTGTCTGCAAACCATTCGAGAAACGCAAGATTCTTTTGTATACCGTATTGTTGAAGCAACTCACCGTGGTGAATTCGTACTTTTTTTTTGCTGCTTGATAATCCACGTAATAATGGTAAAGGGTTGCAAGATGGTAAGTCGTTATTGAAAATATACCCTATATATACAATCAACATTAGTTGGTTATTTGGCGTTTTCCACGATATTTATGTAAACTTTTGTATTTTTCAACGTTATCTCAGGGATGCAAGATATAATCGTCACTATTTTGTTGGTAAGTTTTTATACTTTCTTTTTTTTTTTTGATAGCATTCTTACCAATGTTAATCATTTAACCCCATTATCAATTGCAGATACGAAAACGGGAGTACCCCAATGGGTAGATCCTCGCAAGAACGCTAATGCGTCGCACAGATCTTCTACAGCAAGTTCGGTAACCTCTTCAACCGGATCCACACCAGTGATGCATAATCAATCTATTCCCGCTCGATCGGGCTCCCCGGTTGGGCATACGGATACCTCAGTAATTTCCAACGGAGCGAGTAAAAATATGAATGTCAATATGTCACATATATGTGCTCAGACCGAAAATTTAAGCATAACAGACTCGAGATCGTCGCAAGTGTCTACTACGAGTTATCAATCTTACAATGCACTCGTTACGACAGAAAAATTGAATCAACAGGCGACTCCGGGCTTTGCAATGCCACAACAGACGACTATGCCAACGCAAACGACAAATCAGCCGGTTGGTATGCCGCAACACACTACAGTCTCTCAGCAGACATTTAATCAGTCGGCATCAATGTCGCAACAGACTACAATGTCACAGCAGATGACAAATCCATCGTTCACAACGCCCCAACAGTCACAGCAGATGACAAATCCATCGTTCACAACGCCCCAACAGTCACAGCAGATGACAAATCCATCGTTCACAACGCCGCAACATACAACATCGTCATCGTCATCATCATCATCATCATCACCGCACATGACGAATCCATCGCTCACAATGCCGCAACAGACTACAATGCCACAACAGATGACGAACCCATCGCTCACAATGCCGCAACAGGCATCACCACAGCAAATGACGAACCCATCGCTCACAATGCCGCAACAGACAACAACACCACAGCAGATGACGAACCCATCGCTCACAATGCCGCAAGCGCATACAGGTCATGCATCAAACACTAGTTCACCTGACTCAGCGCATGCAGCGATGGGCTGGCGGACTCCTCATCACGCTGCGAGTATACCAGGGATCAGCTCGTCTGAATCAGTGCGACCGCCAATGAACCGGCATAGTACATCGCCAGCAGATATAAACGCTGGTCATAACACTCAACCGCCGCCGCCCGTACCATCGACAAATGCAACTCCTGCACAACCTGTGGCTGCTTACCCAGTAACACCAAAGACCGCCGCTCCTGGAGGAATAGTTTCTCCTAATGTTCCCGTTGCGCCTGCCACAGGACAGACACAGTATGTTCTTCGTACAGATGCAAATGGAAAGAAATACTACGTTCCAGTTCAACTACAAACCGCTGTCAATAAGAATCCCCAAGTGGTGCCTGCTGGCCAGCCAGTTCTTATGAATGGTAAAATTGTATATTTAAATCAACAAGTTCAGCAGCAAGTTCGACCAGGTCAACCAGTGCAGGTTCGACAAGTTCAACAAGTTCAACAATATCAAACGCAGCAGCAAATGTACAATCAACAACAAATGACAAATTTCCAGCAGAAATTCCTGAGTGTGGGGAAAGAGGTTGGGAAAGTTGCTGCTAAACTTGCTATTGCTAGTATTGCTCCTGGATCACAGAAATCATTATTTGGCAACAACAACAACAACAGTCAGCAACAGCAACAACAGCGACAGCTACAGTTACAATTACAATTACAACAACAACAATTGCTACAACTTCAACAACAACAGCTATTGCAAGCGCAACAAATGAACAATGTGCAACCACAACTGATACAAGTTCAACCACAACTAGTACAAGCACAACCGCAACTAGTACAAGCACAACCACAACTAGTACAAGCACAACCGCAACAACCTCAGTACCAAGTAATTAACGGTGTTACTTATCAAGTCGTCCCGACTGCAACCGCTCCCGCTGCAGATAAAGAACATAAGCACAAGGATAAGAAGGACAAGAAGGACAAGAAGGACAAGAAGGACAAGCAGCAACAGCAGCAACAGCAGCAACAGCAGCAACAGCAGCAACAACAGCAACAGCAGCAACAACAGCAACAACAGCAACAGCAGCAACAGCAGCAACAGCAGCCGGGAATGGCTAACATCTTAGGTAACGTGCTACATACGGTACTTCAAGCTTCACATCACAATTCGCAGCAAAATTCGCAGCAAGATTCGCAGCAAAATTCGCAGCAAGATTCGTCACAACAATCTGATAATTCAGGAGGCTTTAACTTTGGTGATATGATGGGCAATGTCGGTGATTTTACAGATAACTTTAATATCGGTGATATTACAGATAACTTTAATATCGGCGATATTGACATTGGTTCGATGTTCTCGGGGGATAATTGATGGGTGACGCGCAGTGACGACATTAATAATCTGGTTTTTTACTCGTATAATCTTAAATTATCAAAGATGTATTCCTACTCTCTAAATTGACGTATACCAACTATAAATAAATAAATTATAAAAAAAAATAATCTTTCTGTAGACCGCTGACCAAATCCAAGTGTCTTCAACATCGTTTCTATCTTTGGACTATCAGGAAAAATACTTTACCCAATTCTTTCCTTCATCTTTCTCAGAGTAATACTAACTCTGACACTCCTGACTATCCGCTCTCCATTAATTTCGTCAACCAGCGTTTCTTCAATTGCATGTTCCCAATTGTATCTCGCTTCTCCACTCATTCCTAAAACATCGCCAGGTCTCAAGAGTATCGGAATGATTTCATCTGATTGAGCATACGACCTACTATTGCCGTTATAAGATAGCGCCTGTTTGCTCGCCTCGGATGCTGGTCTGAACTGCATTACGCAGCTAGACAAGAGCGAAATTGCTAGAATTCCGTCTTCAAACCTAAGTCCGATATATATGTGAAATCATGGAAGAGAAGGCATGGTATTTAGAAAACTGATGATGAAAGTATTCATATTGACGAACGCATAATACTCAAACTACGTGCCTCGGAAGGTCTACATGACTTTTGATACCTTGACCTGGTTCATATAAATTTATGATTAACTATTAAAAAATTGATGGCACACACACACCAAAGAAAAGGAAATTAATTACGATTAAACCACAATACATACATAACGTTCAATAAGCATACCTGATCAAAGACCGGCCTTCTTCCGAGTAGAATACTTTTCGGTAACAAGCCATCTGTCCTATTTAGGACGTTCTCGACAGTATCAACAATGAAAGAAGGAAGCGTTCCAAAACACATTGCTTGATTCGTTCCCGGATTGCTAAAGTATCCTTCCGCTATTATACCATCTATAAGAGTCTTTTGTTCTTCGTCTGTAAGAACTTCTCTGCAGAGGCAGAGACCAGGGATAGTGGGAAAGACTTGGGGAACCACAAGGGTCGGATGAATGTGAGCAGAATTTTTTATAATACGTTTGGTATGGTCATCATCACTCGCATATGCAAGTTCTTCTTCGGCGTTGTTGAAATCGTCTTCGCTATCGCTGTCACCGAATATTTCTGTAAATAAATGTCGTTTCGAGCATTCGTCCATTAGTCTAGAATGGGGAATTGCTCTTTTACAAGTAGAAGACGCTTACAAGAAGTGAAAAGCCCAAAGTAGCATGAGTACGAGTTGGGCCAATAATAATGCGACTAATTAATTCCTTGTTTCATCTCTTTGAGAAGATGAATCTGTTAAATAACATTCGTCATATAGCGTTATTATTAAACAGTTGACATGCAATGTGTTATTGACAATGACAAAGAAGGGGAACATCCCTCATGGAAACAGATCGAATGATAATCCCTGCATGCTAAGTGACCTGGATATTGATCGGTGAACAGCTTTTCGTTTTTCGCTTTCACCCTTGCATGTCATAGTTTGGCGTCTGAGGATCCACCAGCAAAATGTCAGAACTGTCATTTTACTATTTTGTATCAAAGTGAACATTCTATTATGTGACTAATAACATTTTGATGACGCATTTTATGCCAAAATTCTATACAGTCCAACTCTCTCT